AATCGATAAATTTCGCATTTTTCATGCGTCCATTTGTTGGGTGTTCGGGTGTCGCGGGGGGGAGGGAGTGTGCTCGGGGATGCGTGGTGCACGGGTACTGGAAGGGATGCAAAATGCAGGAGTGGTACGGTGAGCGGCTGCCACCCGGCACTTGCGTTTGATTGTTGCAGCGCAGCAAAGTGCAGGGGAAGTACAGCATGTGAAGCATCTGTACTTACTGGCGCTCCCAGCGTGCAGTGTGTCGCCGGAAAACGAGTGGTCTCCTGTACGCGAGTATATAAGCTGCAGCTCGATGACCTCGTCGTCAGTTTCTTGGCTTTCGTCGAATAAAGTCCAGCACCGCTGGTGCCGAGAGCTAGTCTGATAAATGAGCTAGAATCAGTGATTGACTGAATGGAGTAAAATCGATTATTGGGCTGAACTGAACTGTATCGAGTGATCTGATCGCATGCCATATGTATCGAAAGCTAACATACAGAAGCAGAAACGGAACTAAGTTCACCACTGGGCAAAAATTTGTGTCTCATAACTGCATATGCTTGAAAATGCCACTGGATGTTAGGTACCAAGCTATGTACAGGGTTTCAGTGGGATAAGTTGAGCGGCTGATCACTGTAAACCACGGGGACGACGCACAAAATGGCTTGAAATGAGGAACATAGCAGTTTGCCGAGCACAGCACATCAGCCGCCCGCGCGCAGTTTTAGTTGTTTAAAACGGTACTGAGTGGCAAGTTTCCCGAGAGGGTAAAGAATGTGTCGGCGGAGTTCCAAGAATCTTGCTGAAAAGCACATAAGTTTTGTCCATTCCTCTCTCGCCGTCTGCATCGTTCAGATTTACAGCGACTGCTTCCAAAGCTGGAAGTTGATTAGGCCTACGCATGAACAGTGCATACTGGTTGGACCCAAGTTTGCTTACTTTCAGAAATTCCAAGTTCATTCCGGGGCACTGGTTTTGCATAGGTTGCTGTGATTTTTTTCGTGTCATCTTGAAGTTAAGCAAAAAGTTGAAATGGCAGTGGGCCTTGCTGCCCATTTGTCCGGCCAGAGATGTGGCCGCTACCCTTCCCAGCAGTTTTTATGGGCGACGAGGGGAGGAGGATAAAAGAGGATGTGATGGAATTCTGAGCAAATACCTTTTTTTCAAATGTAGGAGAGAACTGCCATCATGAATTTTTCGCCTTTTGCTAAGAAGGCAAAACAAAAGGATGCGGCAAATAGCTGCGCGCACCGGAGTAGCTAGTGCGGTTATGGGTTTAGTGACTGGTGCAGTTCTGTCCATCGGGCGTTGTCCGTTGAAAATGTTCACTTGCGTTACTGCTTGGTGTGCATATTTTTCCACTAAAATTTTCGTGTATGTCAGATCTAGGCGTACATGAAAGCTGAGTTGAAAATGTATGGGTTGCGCATGGTCGTAGAACACCTTTATAAAATCTGAACTTTCTAACTTTCCTGGTCTCCGAGTTTGCAATTTTTGTGCCAGAACTTTTATTTGTACGTGAGGCTTAGGTTTACGAAGTGTTTGCAATTGAATTTTTGAGATCAGCATGGGACATCCTTCAGCTTCTCTTTTCTAGCTTTTCTGGTTCTTGAGTTGAAA